AGCCCGAATTTAACCCAAAATCAGCCCCAAAAATAGCCCAAAAACGACCCAAAAATAGCCCGAATTTAACCCAAAACTCACCCCAAAACTGACACAAAATCAGCCCAAAATTGACCCAAAAATATCCCAAAACTGACCCCAAACTGACCCAAAATCAGCCCCAAAAAAGCCCAAAACTGACCCCAAACCAGCCCAAATTTCACCCAAAATCAGCCCCAAAAAAGCCCAAATTTAACCCCAAAACGATCCCAAAACAGCCCAAAACCGACCCAAAAAGCCCCAAATTTAACCCAAAATCAGCCCCAAAAAACCCCGAATTTAACCCAAAACTGACCCCAAAAATCCCCAAAATTTACCCCAAAAATCCCCAAAATTTCCCCCGAATTTGTCCCCAAATGTCCCAAATTTTCCCCCAATTGCCCCAGGCCCCGCCCAGGTGCCCCCCCGTGCACACCTGGGCCCCTCCCCCACACCTGTGTGCCCCTCCAGGTGTGCCCAGGTGTGCCCAGGTGTGCCCAGGTGTATCCCACGTGTGCCCAGGTGTGCCCAGGTGCCCCCACGTGTGCCCAGGTGTATCCCAGGTGTGCCCAGGTGTATCTCAGGTGTCCCCAGGTGTATCCCAGGTGTGCCCAGGTGTCCCCCAGGTGTCCCCAGGTGTCCCCAGGTGTATCTCAGGTATCCCCAGGTGCCCCCAGGTATCCCCAGGTGTCCCCAGGTGTGTCCCAGGTGCCCCCAGGTGTCCCCAGGTGTATCTCAGGTGTCCCCAGGTGTCCCCAGGTGTGTCTCAGGTGTGCCCAGGTGTGTCCCAGGTGCCCCCAGGTGCGTCCAGGTGTGCCCAGGTGTATCTCAGGTGTCCCCAGGTGTATCCCAGGTATCCCCAGGTGCCCCCAGGTGTGTCCAGGTGTCCCCAGGTGCCCCCAGGTGTGCCCAGGTGTGCCCAGGTGTCCCCAGGTGTGTCCCAGGTGTCCCCAGGTGTCCCCAGGTGTATCTCAGGTGTGCCCAGGTGTGTCCAGGTGTGCCCAGGTGTATCTCAGGTATCCCCAGGTGCCCCCAGGTGTGCCCAGGTGTGCCCAGGTGT